TTACTTCTGAGGTTTCCAGGAGAACAGAGCAGAGGAAACTATTGAGGGCAAAAAAGTTCCTTCAGAAACAAGAACTCTTGCTCGAATAAGGAGAACAAAAAGAACCACAATATTCAGCAAAAGAATTTTGCAGACAAAAATGAAATTAAAAAATGGAAAATTGTACATTTGATGAATGTATAATTGGAAATAAAAAATTAATTATACCAGAAACAGGAAATTAGCTAGGGAAGCAGCTGGACAGGAGACAAGGGAGTTAAAGGAATGCTGAAGCATTATAAGGAAAAGCTGAATTATTTGTTTGTTTATGTCCTCTTTGTGGAAGATGTAGGGCAGAAACCTGTGCCTGAACTAAGTTTTTCAGGAAGGGAGTCTGAAAAGCTGAGGAATATAGTGGAATGGTTTCATTCCTCTTAGTTTTATTGCATTGTTGGTTAAGTAGATTCATAAATTTTAAATTTTTAAATTTCTTTGCATGTTGTCCTGAAATTCATTTTTGAACACAAATATAGTGGTGACGCTATTAGGTGGCCTTATGGGCAACTAAAAAAATGAACAAGTTGATAGCTCTGGATGTTACCCAGCCAAAAGTTCTTAAGAACTCAAAGGTGAAATTGCTGATCTTCTAACAAAAGCATGTAACTTAGTTGCTGAAATTGGCTGTAGTAGCCCGTCCAATATTATTTTTGAAAGGGCTCTGTGGTGAATTCAGGAAACTTTAGTCCTACTTGCTTAATGTCTGTTCTGTGGAAATCACTATTAAATATAATCAGGTATATAGGAGAGCATGTGTTGCTAAAGAAGAATTGGCATGTCTTCTGCAAAAGCCTGTCTACCTTTCTGAAAAAGTCATTCAATAAATGCTGCTGAAAAATGTGATCAGCCATGGCATAAGAGAATGATTTATGTTATGGATCACTAATAACTTTAAAAAACAACTGAAGAATAGGAATAAATTAACAGTCCCTCACAATGGAGGGATGTAAAAGGAGGATCCACACATTCTGTTTTGGGCCAGTGATTTTAAACTTTTTCATCAATGACCTAGAGTTAGAGCAAAGTGGGTATTGCTGACACTCAATAATTCAGGGTGGTAAAAACAAAACTGGGTTTGCAATGAGCTCCAATTCAAGCTTCCTTCAAGGAGCTGAGTGTGCTGTACGTGGTTCTCATGAAGGGATACGATCATGTTTGTTCAGAAATCAGCATCTCTTCCTTAAATCATAAAAAAGCACAGCTGAAGTCCATTTGGGTGCCTTGCAAGCTCTTCCCTGCTTTTCCACATAGTTGCACTCAGGCAATTGTGATTAGTGTTTAGGAACCAACCTGTGTGCTTTTATAGCATGATAGTTATTGGTGAACTTGAAGTTTTCAGATTAAAGGCTGCCCTGTTGGAGAATGCAGTGTTGATAATACTAGTGATTTGCATATGTGGTGGGAACATCAGGTTATAAAATACGAAAGCATGACATTGGGTGGTATAAGTAAGTATAGAGTGCTGTTGAAAGCCCTCATTGTATTATTGAGATTTAGAAAAGATATTGAGGAACCACAGGAGTTGATGCTAATCTCATTACTACTTCTTAAATAGAGCTAGCACACACACACACACACACTCTCTTGTGCACCAACCACAAGAGTCAGTTTGGATCCTGGTTCAACATGTTGAAAAATTGCCCAATTTAATCCAAGGTATTGTAAGGGCTGTCTAGTTCAGATCAGGTCTAAATCCCAACCCCAAAAAAGACAGAATTGTGACTAACCAATTTATTATTATGGGGGCCTTTTTTTTTTAAGGCTATAATGTGTTTTTTTACTCTTGATAGAATTGGTTGACATTTGCAGACATAGTAGCCCTTCTTAAGTGAATGAAGCCTGCCAAATAGGATTATATATTTAATTAATTTGGACCCTGCCCTTCCTTCCAAAGGAAGCCAGGGAATTCTTGTGCTGATCACCTTTAAAAGGTTTAGGGAGGAAAAGATGAAACTTCTCTCATTCCTGCCACCCTCCCAGGGTGAGGAGGGGTGCATGAGAGGGCTTTCTCAGGGGTTGCTCCCAGACTTTGGAACTCCCTCCCTGGAGAAGATGGACTGGTTCCCTCCTTGCTGTCGTCTGCTGTCAAGTGAAGACTTTCTTTTGGGAACTGATTGCTTTGAATGAAAGGGTTGGTGCTGTTTTTATTGAAATTATCTGTATGTTTTTAATACATGGTAGGTAGGTAGGTAGGTAGGTAGGTAGGTAAGTAGAGAGTTTTATTCTATCAATGTTTAATTGTTTTTTAATTATTGTTTTCCTCTCTATGTGGATGGCAGCTAACGGATTGAGGTTGAATCCCAACAAGACAGAAGTACTGTTTCTGGGGGACAGGGGGCGGGCAGGTGTGCGGGACTCACAGGTCCTGAATGGGGTAACTGTGCCACTAAAGGACAAGGTGCTCAGCCTAGGAGTCATTTTGGACTCACAGCTGTCCATGGAAGCTCAGGTTTACCAGCTCCATCTGATACACCGGCTAAGACCCTTCCTGCTTGTGTACTGTCTCATCAGAGTGGTACATGCCCTGCTTATCTCCCACTTGGACTTCTGCAATGGAACTCTACATGGGGCTGCCTTTGAAGGTGACCTGGAAACTACAACTAATCCAGAATGCAGTAGTTAGACTGGTGACTGGGAGCAGCTGCTGGGACCATTTAACACTGGTCCTGAAAGACCTACATTGGCTCCCAGTATGTTTCTGAGCACAATTCAAAGTGTTGGTGCTGACCTTTCAAGGCCTAAACGGCCTCAGCCCAGTATACCTGAAGGAGCGTCTCCCCATCGTTCAGCCTGGACATTGAGGTCCAGCTCCAAGGGCCTTCTGGCGGTTCCCTCACTGCAAGAAGTGAAGTTACAGGGAATCAGACAGAGGGCCTTCTCAGTAGTGGCGCCCAGTAAAATTGTTGTTGTTGCTGCTATTTATTTGGTAGATGACTTTTATCCAAATGCCCTCTCCTTCTGAATAGAATTTCTATGACTCCTTGTTATACATCTGTGCTGGGAGCAATGAAATAAGACGGGAAATGGCTAGAGCCCAAGTAGAGGAAGACTCATGCCTCATGTTGTATCTGACCAAACACAGGAGCATGGTCATGTGTGCAGGGTGTGCCTGGGCACAGCCTAATGTTTTTTTTTTTAAAAAAAAACCCAGGAATCATGGCAAGGAGGGAGAGAGCACACAGCAACCTGGCTCCCTCGGCTGCCCAAGCAACTCACCATCATTTGTGGAGAGAGCTCAGTGGGAGTGAGGGGCTGCTTTTGCGGTGCACAAGCAAGGAGGAGGAGGAGCCATCTGCCCTCCCTCTCGTCAGCCATGGGTCTTTTTCTGTGCATGAAAAATATATTACCGTATTTTTCGCCCCATAGGACGCACCGCCCCATAAGACGCACCTGTTTTTTTGGGGGGGGGAAATAAAAAAAATTATTCCCCCCCCAGGCGCGGGGCTGGTGCGGGGAAGCCCAAGCTTCCCCCAACCCCAGCCCCCAGAACAGGCTGCTGCCTGCAAGCCTCGCGCGCCCAGCAGGACCTTCCGCCAGACGCGGGAGGCTTGCGGACACCTTCCCGAAGCACGGGGCGTCCTCCGGAGGGCACCCCGTGCTTCGGGAAGCAGGCTGCCGCCCCAAGCCTCGCGCACCCGGCAGGACCTTCCGCCAGGCGTGGGAGGCTTGCGGACACTCGCCTGAAGCACGGGGCATCCCGGAGGGCGCTCCGGCTGCAGGCTGCTGCCCGCAAGCCTTGCGAACCCGTGGGAACTCCCCCGGGCTCGCAAGGCTTGCGGATAGCTTCCTGAAGCCTGGAGAGCGAGAGGGGCCGGTGCGCACCGATGGCTCTCGCTCTCCAGGCTTCAGCGAAAGCCTGCATTCGCCCCATAGGACGCACACACATTTCCCCTTCATTTTTGAAGGGGGAAAAGTGCGTCCTATAGGGCGAAAAATACGGTATTTTGTCTTCTTGACCACTCTTCTTGTGGTTGTTTTGCGAGCTTTTTGACTCTTTACCTCTTTCTTGTCCTCATTTGCCTTGTCATTTACCCCGCCTTCCTTCCTTCCTTCCTGAAATAAATAAATGGAAAATTCCCCCAGTTGAAATGTGCTGTGCGTACCTATGCACAGGATAGAGCTCATCGTTGACCCTATTCTAGTGGTGGTGATGGTGAGATTTAACTGGATTAAATATTATTCTCTCTGGCTAGAATCTCTGTTAGAATATTAGATATCAAAATGCATCTCCTAAAATTCTCTTGTTCTGAATGTTTTATCACGTTTTTCTTTTTTGAAATGCACCTCTTTGCAGTCCATAGTGCGACCTCTTTTTTCTTTCAGTGCATTTTGTATACTGATGTATAAAATATTAATTCAAATGTCAAGACTGCAATCCTATGTGCAGTGAATTGCAAGTGTAAGAATATATGTAACCCTGCGGCATATATAAAGTAGTATTAGAGAGAGGGACAGCAAAGGTTGGAGTCTGCATTGTTGAAGTTGACAGAAAGAGAAAGTGTATTTGAGAAGAGGTGCAATACTGGGTGGAGGAAGACTCATCCTGGATGATTTCTGTAAGGAAATTTTACTGTATATATTCTGTAAATGTGTAAAACATTGAAAGTGTACTGTATTAGCTTCCTGGGTTGTTTTGATTACAAACTGCTTTTTAATGCTGAAATATTGACACGTTTCATGACGTTCTTAGCAAATCATGAGTTTGCCTCTATGAGTTACTTCAAGCAGTGTGCAACCCTAAAACTATAAAATCCTCAGTTAAGATTTAAAATAAACCTATTCAGCTTCTCTTAGCCGATTAAGGGAAGATAAGGTTGTCCTAATTTTTAAAATTAATTTAGGCAATTTAGCAGTTCAGACCTAAGAAAAAGGATGGTTGATAAGAGTCCAATTAGAGCTTCTTTCCTAGATCTAAGGACTTTGCTTGTAGATTGAACATACGTTTTCCATTTGTTTTCCACCAGGCAAGCTGTCATTAAAGGGTCTCTTCCACATCCTTTTGCTCTGACATTATTTGAGGATACACTGTATTGGACTGACTGGACCACACGTTCTGTCCTGGCTTGCAACAAATACACTGGGGAGAACCTGCGTGAAATACATTCCAATATATTTTCTCCCATGGATATTCATGTGTTCAACCAACAACGGCAGCCCAGTGGTGAGTTCTCTGTTCCCCCACCATTGCTAACTACAACTTTGAACAGATTTGTAGAAGTCCCAATTTGCCTTAGAGTGGAAGAGTTCAGTATAGATGCTTTCCTTGGTACAATTTATAAGGCAGTGAATTAAAAATATATCCCAAGAAACACTGGCACCAGTTCAGACAACACACCAAGGCATGGTTAAAGAACCTTAGCTATGATTAATCTCTGCATGATGGCTTGCTTTTGGCCAAAGAACAAAATTATGATTGACATGAACTGGTGAGTGAATCACCAACTCTTCATGTTTTTGATCTGAGTAGTAAAATCATATTATTTTGTGTTTGTGTTTTCAGTTTGTGGCAGGTAGCCAGGTTGCTTTTTCTTTTACAATTCTACACAGAATTGCAGAATTAGAAGGGAACCCAAAGTTCATCTAGTCCAACCCCCTGCCATGCAGGAATCTCAATTAAAGTATCCATGACCAATAGTCGCTTTCTGAAGGAGTTTAAGTTCTTCCTGATGTTGAGTTAAAATCTCCTTTCTTGCAACTTGAATCCACTGGTTTGAGTCCTACCCATCAGAGCAGGCAAAAAAACCCCCACCCTTTCCTCTTTCAAATGACAGCCCTTTAGATATCATAGGCAGCTATCATATCAGTTTTCAGTCTCCTCTTTCCCAGTTTGGTGTCATCTGCAGATGGGAAGAGCATCTCCTCATTTCCTTCATCCAAGTCATCTGTATAGATTTTGAACAACAATGGGCCCAGGACAGAACCCTGCGGCATCCCGCTTGTCACTTTTCCCCAGTATGACGAGGAACTGCTAGGCAGCATTGGCCCAGCTCCTAAAGGTGTAGGGTGAAATCCATCCCAGCACCTAACGGACCAGGGCCGTCTGGTGCTGCTGATTTGCATCTAGTAAATAGGTTTCTACTTAGAAGAAAGCCGCACTGAGTTCAGATAAGGGTGTGTGGGGTTATAGTTTTTTATCTAGGCAGCCAGGGCTCCTCCGAATGACAAGACCTTTCTGCATCAGGTGAGTGAGGACCACTTGCTTTTTAAAATTCTCTGATACATACAGAGCTGTGTGCCATTTGGACTGTATCTGTAGGTTTCCCCTTCTGTGTCAGTTAACCGGAGTCAAATAAGTATTGTTTGCTCTTTATAATACATGGAAGATGGATCTCCCTTGGGAGTTTCTGGACTCTCCTTCCTTGAAGGTTTCTAAGCAGAGGTTGGGTGGCCATCTGCCATGGATGCTTTAGCTGAGTTTCCTACCTTGGAGGGGGCTGCACTAGAATGATGACCCTTGGGGTCCCTTCCAACTCCATGATTCTATGTTTTTCTGCTTCAACAATATTTCATTGTGTTCATATAATTTTATAGAAGTCATGTTTCACCTTTAATGCTATTTTAGATTCAACTTCTAATTTAGCTAACAGGACAGTAAAATAATCCCCCCCCAAGATAATTTGAACCCATGTGCTTTTGGCACAGATGTAGTACACACATTCCATTGTGGAGGAGTAAAATGTGTTTTTATAAATAAAACATATTCTGTTTACAGACAGAACATTTAAATAGCTACCTTTCTACTGGTGGCAGCGGGGCCCACAGTCAGAAAAAAGTTGAGAAACACTGTCATGGGGGGAAAGGGAGACTGAGGGAGAAACAGCTTGTCAATTTAACTCCTCAGAGAGACAGAGGTGGCATTTATGCTTCTAATTATTTTGATCCTATGAAAGTGGATTTTCCCATGGTCAGATGGCTCCCTGGGATCAACCTCTAGGAGGGATTGCTATTTAGGCTATTGCTTTACGTTCCTGACAAGGCAGGTCAGAGGATGAAATGTGGTGCAGAGGAAATGGAAATAGTTCCTGTTAACAGTAAGGTGGTTTCTGCTGTGCCAGAGTTTTCTGTGCCGCTGTCTTTGCTTTGCATATCTCATATCATCTGTCTGTGTGAAGGACCAGTCATTGCGATAATAAAGTCAAAATTGGGTTTTATATTTTTTTATTTTATTTATAAAATACTATGCCCCTTAATATATTAAAATTTCAGAGCAGTTTACAACAGAAATACAATAACAACAATAAAATGCAAATAGCATACAATAAAATTACCTCAGAAACTGAAAAAAATAAAATCACAACTGTATATCACAAACAAAACTGAAGGTTGTGAAAATGAAATTCTCAATACAGCTTTTCTTCAAAAGGATGAAATGCAGCTTTGGAGGCTAACATTATTTTGCAGATGTGAGGAGGGAGGCTTGGGTTGGTGTGCAATGCCTTCTTTGTATTTCCCCCCTCCTGTGTACACATAGTTCCCCATTCACATAAATAGACACATATTCAAGTCACATATACCCTGTGTATGTGCACTTCCTTACTTATTTTGCTTGTTTCTGCTGTCCATGTTTCTCTTCCCTTAAACACATGTTATTCTTGATGTGCAATGTAATGTTTTTTAGTATTACTACACACTGATCTGCATGGTCTCTATACTTGACAGCTACAAACCCTTGTGGAACCAATAACGGTGGTTGCTCCCATTTATGTTTGATGTCTCCTGTCAAGCCCTCTTATCAGTGTGCATGTCCCACAGGCGTGAAACTCCTTGAAAATGAAAAAACCTGCAAAGATGGTATGTTATAATTTTAAAAGTTATTCAGATAATAGAGTTTAAACTGGCAAAGAATTTGATCTGTTAGCATAATTGAATAGTGTACCTTTCTGGCAAGGATGCTACAAGTCAAGTACAAAATGTACACTGCCACTTCAGTGTATGTTACAACAGTGTATGTTTCTCAAATTGTGGGGAGGGTGCAAGATACCTGGAGGAATGTGTGTGGAAAGTTCTAGGGAGGAAGAGTTAGTACCACATTAGACTTCATACATAGAGCTTTGTGGGGGGATACTGTGTGCTCACATGCCAAAGAACCTGTTGGAAGTGCATTGGGGGCTTGAAAAGGAGAGCAAGCTTAAAAGGGGGTAATTTCTCATTTAATTTGATGGGCTTCAAGACTGGCAGCAGTGCTGTGTGGGAAAGGCAGACAGGCCTGATTTAATGCCATTGCCAGACTCATAGGCCATTCTGGGCATGTTATAAACACACCCTGACTATGGCACCCAGATGGCTGTCACCTCTAATCTGTCACTTAATGCTAAGGAACAAAATGCTTTTTCTGGAACTAACTGATAACCTGTATGAAGTATTTATCCTAAAGTTGAATTAATATGTTATGAACGCACACACTTTTCACAGTGGGCTGCGATAATAATGTTATTGTTGTTTAAACCATGTTTGTTCAAAGAACCATGGATCATCTCACAGACCTCAAGACTGGACTGTTGTAATGTGTTGAAGATTCAGAAACTACATCTAGGACAGAATGGAGTATCCAGCCATGCTACTTATGAGCACTGCTGGCTGGGCACATATTACACTAGGTCTTGAAAGACCTGCACTGGTTGTCTTTGTCCTTCTGAGCCCAATTTAAAGTGCTTATATTGACATGCAAAGCCATAAATGACATGGGCCAAATATCAGGAGAAGCACACTCTCTCTTATATGCCTCTCTTGGTATATATGTTTATTGTTCAATAAGAAGTGTAGGTGAAAGGGGGTAACATTAACCACTAGGCTTGCAGGGCTGATTCACAATGATGATCATCATCAAGTGTTGAAGATGTGTGTGTGGTTGGAATTTTGATGTCACCTCTGATCACATCAAACACAATGCTTTTAAAATGGTCTGTTCACATATTCTAGCTGTAAGTTATCAAGTGTTAGAAATGATAAAAATATAAAACACCAAATTACTTTTTCAACTAATGTCAAGATTTTACTTAGAAATGCAGATAGCTTTTTTTAAAAAAAATTGAGCATTTTATAGGTTCATCAGCTGTTTCTCCTTGCTCATTTCCCCCCTTTGTTTCTATTTAATCATGGCTATGTGAATCCACACAAAGCTTGTTTAAAATAATTTGTGCCATATATATCGTATTCTTCACTCCATAAGACACACCTGACCTAGTTTTTAGAGGTGGAAAAAAAAAACAAAAAATTCTGAATCAAATGTTGTACTAAACTGACTTTCTTCCTTTTTTTTCATTGCAGAGATCTCTGGGGGCTTTTATATGAGGGAGGAATGAGTGGGAAATCTGATTCAATTTCGATTTAAAGTCACACCTACCCAATTCACACCTTTGTACACAACACAAGGAGCAAACCACAGCCGCCCTTCAAATTTCAAACTTCTGCAAAGGAAGGCACTACTGTCCCTGAAAGGCTAAACTAAACTTGCAGAATTTGTCCCTGTAAATTGTTGTTGTTGTTGTTTAGTTGTTTAATCGTGTCTGACTCTTCGTGACCCCATGGACCAGAGCACGCCAGGCACCTCTGTCCTCCACTACCTCCCGCAGTTTGGTCAAACTCATGCTGGTAACCTCGAAAACACTATCCAACCATCTCGTCCTCTGTCGCCCCCTTCTCCTTGTGCCCTCCATCTTTCCCAGCATCAGTGTCTTCTCCAGGGAGTCTTCTCTTCTCATGAGGTGGCCAAAGTACTGGAGCCTCAGCTTCATGATCTGTCCTTCCAGTGAGCACTCAGGGCTGATTTCCTTAAGAATGGATGCGTTTGATCTTCTTGCAGTCCATGGGACTCTCAAGAGTCTTCTCCAGCACCATAATTCAAAGGCATCAATTCTTCGGCGATCAGCCTTCTTTATGGTCCAGCTCTCACTTCCATACATCACCACGGGGAAAACCATAGCTTTAACTTTATTGGCAAGGTGATGTCTCTGCTTTTTAAGATGCTGTCTAGATTTGTCATTGCTTTTCTTCCAAGAAGCAGGCGTCTTTTAATTTCATGGCTGCTTTCACCATCTGCAGTGATCATGGAGCCCAAGAAAGTAAAATCTCTCACTGCCTCCATTTCTTCCCCTTCTATTTGCCAGGAGGTGATGGGACCAGTGGCCATGATCTTCGTTTTTTTGATGTTGAGCATCATACCATATTTTGCGCTCTCCTCTTTCACCCTCATTAAAAGGTTCTTTAATTCCTCCTCCCTTTCTGCCATCAAGGTTGTGTCATCTGCATATCTGAGGTTGTTGATATTTCTTCCGGCAATCTTAATTCCAGCTTGGGATTCTTCCAGCCCAGCCTTTCGCATGATGTATTCTGCATATAAATTAAATAAGCAGGGAGACAAAATACAGCCTTGTCGTACTCCTTTCCCAATTTTGAACCAATCAGTTGTTCCATATCCAGTTCTAACTGTAGCTTCTTGTCCCACATAGAGATTTCTCAGGAGACAGATGAGGTGATCAGGCAGTCCCATTTCTTTAAGAACTTGCCATAGTTTGCTGTGGTCGACACAGTCAAAGGCTTTTGCATAGTCAATGAAGCAGAAGTAGATGTCTTTCTGGAACTCTCTAGCTTTCTCCATAATCCAGCGCATGTTTGCAATTTGGTCTCTGGTTCCTCTGCCTCTTCTAAATCCAGCTTGCACTTCTGGGAGTTCTCGATCCACATACTGCTTGAGCCTTCCTTGTAGAATTTTAAGCATAACCTTGCTAGCGTGTGAAATGAGTGCAATTGTGCGGTAGTTGGAGCATTCTTTGGCACTGCCCTTCTTTGGGATTGGGATGTAGACTGATCTTCTCCAATCTTCTGGCCACTACTGAGTTTTCCAAACTTGCTGGCATATTGAGTGTAGCACCTTAACAGCATCATCTTTTAAAATTTTAAATAGTTCAGCTGGAATACCATCACTCCCTGTAAATTACCAACTCATTAAAAAAGTTTCATTACAGCGACTTATAACTGCATAATACATAAACTAATTATCTTTATGTTGTCTGTCTAAATATTTTTTCAGGCAAGGGAGGAAGGATACAGTTCTGCAAAATTTGTTGTAGCTTCTTTTTCAAATATTCAAATCTTTACTCAAATATTCCAATCATTTATTTAATGACAATATAGCATTAGAGGCCTAGATTTGTTAGTACAGTATTCTTTCATCTGTTCTTAGTTGTCACTTTGAAAATCTAACGGAAAAAGCAAATCCGTGTTTTCAGGAGATATAAATCCAAACAATGTTTTCTTTTCAGGTACGGAACAATCTATGCTGTTCTTTCAGTTAATATATCTGCCAAGACCCAGTGTGATATAATGAACAGACTTAAATTGAAGAGACTAATGTCCAAATCCTGTCTCTGTCATGAACCTTATTGGGTGACCCTGGGGCCTGAAATACAGGACAAAATTAGATGACTAATGGGTAGCCAAATTTGAATTTACTTCCCATTCTTCTCATCTGCCAATCCTTTGCACACCTAACATAGTTTTGAGTTATAAAACTGTAGTTCTTTATAGATGGGCAGACTGCTTCCCATGTGCTATTTAATCATGTCAGTGAAGTCAATTAAACTTATGTTATTGCTTTACAATTTGTTTTATTTAAATCAAACAATAAGTATGGGAAGATGCAGTACGTTTCCAAGCACAGTTCAAAGTATTAGTGCTGACCTTTAAAGCCCAAAACGGTCTCGGCCCAGTATACCTGAAGGAGCGTCTCCAACCCCATCATTCAGCCCAGACACTGAGGTCCAGCTCCGAGGGCCTTCTGGTGGTTTTCTCACTGTGAGAAGTGAAGCTACAGGGAACCAGGCAGAGGTTGGTAGTGGCACCTGCCCTGTGGAATACTCTCCCATCAGATGTCAAGGAAATAAACAACTATCTGACTTTAAGAAGACATCTGAAGGCAGCCCTGTTTAGGGAAGTTTTTAATGTCTGATGCTTTACTGTATTTTTAATATTTTGTTGGAAGTCGCCCAGAGTGGCTGGGGAAAGCCCAGCCAGATGAGTGGGGTATAATAATAATAATAATAATAATAATAATAATAATAATAATAATGCAAAATTGAAGACCGCTGGAAGAGAGGCGAGTGCTGAAATATTTTTTATTTTTAACCCACATAAATTAAATCCAACTGACCAATGTTGGTGCTTAAACAATACCAACATCCATTTTCCCAAATGGAATGAAAATGAAGAGGAAGGGTTCTCAGTGAAATACGGGTAACTTAAATCTTATACTGGTTTTACTTATGTGATCACAGCTTTGCATGGGGGGGGGCTTTAAACAAATAAAGAATGGAGGAAACCCACTCTCTATTTGCTTATTTCCATACAACTGTCAGGCTGCTGTCAGCAACTCCCATGGCTGGTTGCCCAGGAACGTACAAAGACAAGGAATGTTCTTACCGTCTGCTTTTTATTCAGTATTTACAGAGAGAGGCTATAGAACCCAGCCTCTTGGATAATGGCGTTGACCCAAATGAATCCCCATTCCGCCCACCCCGTCTCTCCCACTTCCTCATTTGTCATTCTCATCACCTCCTCTATGGGTACTGGCAAGCGACCTCTGTCTTTGAGCCATTTGCTCTCCTACTTTCAAGGCTTGCCAGGTTCTGGGAGATGGTGGGTCTGGAATTCTTTCTAAAGACACTGTCCATCAGCTGTTGCCCCCCTGGTGCTTCCTCTCCCTCCTCCTCCTCTCCCATTATTTCCCAACTTTTCCCCTCATCTGCCTCTGAGCTGTGACCTCCCTCAAACCTCTGTTGTAAATCTAAGCTGTCTTCCTCTCCCTCCTCCCTGGAAGTGTCAGGCTGGGGGAGGCCTGTCTCCACCATTCCTCCTCTGCCCAGTCCCTGACAGCCACCACCTGTGCTGCTTGAAGGCTTCGGAAGCATCCCAGAGCTGCCTTCCCAAAGCTGGTTAAGTGCGGCACTGTGCTTTGTTAACGAGGCGCGAGGGCTCTGGCAGGGTTCTAGAGGTTCCTTCCCAAAGCTGGGCAGGTGCTTACTGGGCTTTTAAAGGTGGCAAGAGGGCTCTGGGACACTGCCAGAGCCCTTGTGCTGCCTTTCTGAAGCCGGGTAGGCAGCCGTCTGCCATGGGGGGGGGAGTGCAGTTCCAGGGGGTTCCTGGCTTTACCCATTTTTACGTATATGGACTCCCGGAACCAAACCCTTGTGTAAGACCTAATAGCATTTTTTGCAAGTTTATGGGCAAGCATGATTTTTTTAAAAATTCAAGTGTTCTGATTCTTTAAGTAACAGGAGTATTTTATTCTTCGGTGCATAAGGCTGGATCATCAGGAAGAGGATTGGGAGTGAGGGAACACTCTGTGAATTACTACAATTTATAGTGCCTTGGCATTGACAGATGATCATTATAGCCAAAGGTGAACCTGGCTGACCCCAGCAGAGTAGTTTCCATGTCAATTAACTTTTGCTTTCTCAATTTGCAGCATATAAAAACCACCTTGTATGCATGTGCATTTTAATTGTATCTGGGAGAGGCAGTTGTAAGCAATCACTTCCCCCCTAGTTTTCCTGTTTCTAGCCATTTTGGAAATCTTCAAAAGAAATATTCATCAAGGAGCTGAAATTGCAAATGGCATAGTATTACTTAAATGCTATGTGAATTAATTCTTTTTGACTGATAATAACTGAGTTGGGCACCTAATTTCAGTTTCCACATGTTTTCAAAATAACACTTAGCAATGGATGTAAGCCAAAAATCCTAGTTGATTAGTGAGCTGAGTCAAAATCATAGTTCAATACTCCTCCATTGTCTCAGCTCGAAAGTGCCAAAACTCTTGTGCAGAGCAACAGAAATAAACTGAGTGTGATAGAGAAGCCAAGAGCAAGCAGTGTGTATGAATATGTGATGGCTACTGCTGACAACTTCATTTTACATAGGCTCTCCCTTTCATTGTACCAGATGCCGCATAAAGCTCTCCGGACTTTCCTCATGTCATGTTAGTGCGGTAGTGCTGTTGGGTGTGAAATAGTCTCTACCATAATACAGTGGTGCCCCGCAAGACGAATGCCTCGCAAGACGAAAAACTCGATAGACGAAAGGGTTTTCATTTTTTGAGTCGTTCGCAAGACGAATTTCCCTATGGGCTGCCTTCGCAAGACGAACGTCTTGCCAAGTTCTTGCGAGTTCTGTTTCTTTTCTTAAGCGTCTAAGCCGTTATAGCCGCTAAGCGTTAATAGCCGCTCGCAAGACGAAAAAGCAAGACGAAGAAGTCGTGAATGGATATTTCGTCTTGGAGCACATTAGAGCTTGCAAAGTCAGAAATTGTTACAGATAGTAGCCGTGTGTCTTGCCATAGTCAAAAAAGACAAAAAATCTTCCAGTAGCACCTTAAAGACACGATTTTGTATGAGCTTCGTGTGCATGCAACGTTATCTGAAGGAAGTTGCATGCACACGAAGTCATTCCAGCTTGTAGGTCTTAGGTGCTACTGAAGGTAGAGTTTTTTTTTGTAAAGTCAGGAATGGTATTGATCAAATAGATACAGAGACATTATTTCTCCGTCTCTCATAAAACTGAAACTCTGGCCATTCTCACCCACTGAATTAGGTTCAGAAAAAAGGAAATCCTAATGAACACAAACTTCAACTAAGCTTATGGACTTCATTGCCACAAGTTCTGACAATGGCCACTGACTCAGGCAATTTTTGGAAGAAGATTTAACCTCTTCACTTCCTTTCTTATTTTAATGTACATTGAGCTGTTCACACATTATATACTGAGAATAACTGTCAGTCTGGTAAAAGCTTAAATGTACAGTCCATGTTTATGCTATTTCCATAATTCTGTGGTGGGAAAACCTGTTTTTTGGGTTTGGGGGTTTGCAAAAAAAAAAGTGATTCTGCGGAGAATGCAGCACAGTTCTCTCTAATCTATGTTCACTGCATTTTAATTGTGCCTTGCTTTTGGGGGGCAATTATGTTTTAGTACTCCGGTGATAAAAATAACCAAGAATACACTTCCTTCCTCCAGGCTGACACTAGGAATGTACTGCTGCTGGTTACCAAACTAATAGAATCCTATATTTTCATAGGAGGAGATGCTTTCAAGCTGTTTTCCAGAGGTGCCACTTGGCATTGTCTCTTCTCTCCCCTCAAAAAAATGAGTTTCAGACCATATGATTATTCCTCGGCAGTTTCAATATTTCTAGTTGCTGTGAGGTATACAAACTACAGCAAATCCTCTTGCAATGTGTTGCTTTTTTGCAGTTTAGCCTGGAACATATCCAGGAGCAGGCCTTTGATCCTGGCTGTGAATCTATACTTCCCCCGTACCAAAACCTGAAATAACGCCCCTGAGTTTGCATTGACAAAGCCAGAATATATTGGCTGAATCTTCATGCCGGCCGCTGGAGTCTTGTCTTACGTTTTTAATGTACACTGGTACCTCTAGTTGCCTTCACCTCTGGTTACATATCCTTCGGGATACGTACGCGGCAAACCCAGAAGTATTTTCCCGGGTTTTGCCGAATGCGCATGTATAGAAGATGAGAACCCAAAGATTTGCAATGGTTTTTGTATTTCCTGTACTGCCCCAGTAGAATAAAAATTTGGCTGTATATTCAACATGCTGAGGCTCGAACACCATTGCAGATAAGTCCATGAAAGTTAGTAGTCTACACACTACTGTGCTAGGATTTTTTATTATTCTTTTTTATAGCACAGGGCTTGCCAACCTTTTTTTGGCCTGTTTTGCAAACCAGAAAAAACTTGTTGTGGACATCTATTGGCTATGATAGAATTTGTATTTCAATTGAGGGGAGGGGGAGGAAACACTGTGGATGCCAAGAGAGGTGAGAGTAAAACAGAGACAAAATAACAGCTCCTGCTCCTGCTTGAAGATAGCTGATGGTACTGTCTCCAGTGGGTGGGTGAAGCGGAGTTGCAGAGCACAGGCGACAGAACACATAATCATGTGCCCCACTCTTGGTTGCTTAATTGTGGCTAATGCCAATCAGGAAAGTCTGACGCTACTGTGCCTACAAATTCTTCGTTTGCTTTTGTCTGTGTGGACTTGAAATTCAAAATGCTTTTCTGCTACCTGAACTATATTTGTGGGTAAATGCATTTTTAATGGTTCAGATATATGAGGGAATGTCTTGATCATTATGATACCAGAGTGCTCTTCTCATCTTAGCTTCTGAATGCTTAACACTATTCCAGACTTGTAAAGAAAACGCCCTTAATGCCCTTAATGTTGTTTGGGGTGGATTTTCTATTTTAGGCTACATTCCAACACACCTTTGGAGTACTAAAGTGTCTCCAGATTGAACCATGGATGTGATGTTAGAAGAAGTCTGTTTTTCTGGATCAATATTTGTTTGAGACATTTTAAAAACCTCAATACATTAATAGTGGATAAGAGAAAAAGGCATTCCAATGGCAAAAATCAATAATTTCTTTGAATCCTCCCCCCAGCTTCTTTCTGGGTTTTTTTGCCCATTAATCCTACATTTTTGATGGATGCGGGGAAATAACCCCAACATGCTACATTTACTGGGTGCACATGTTAACCCATGTAACATTCAGCTGATTTTCCTGGGATTTTCTTTGTCTCAGATGCTTTATGTGTACAGAAGATAACTCGGAATGCTGAGCATTTGAAATTTCAAGAAACCATTTACATCTATGCATTTAACTATGTTCTAGAAGGATGGTAATGTAAACTTCGGTGTAAACTCTGAAAAGGAAGGGGCAACAGGCTGTAATTTTTACTCCTTCCCCCAAAAAACTATGGTTAACTGGTTCCTTTAGGTTCTGAACTGAATTTTTCAGACAGGTGCTGCTTTTGTTCATGTGTTGTAGCTGCAAGAGATGATAATATTTTACTTTTTGAAAATAAAAATGTTTAGTTGTACAGGGTGGTCTTTGGCAAGTGACAAATTACCCAATCCATCTAAACCACAGAGCCTAGGGCTTGCCGATCAGAAGGTTGGCAGTTCAAATCCCTGCGACGGGGTGAGCTCCCGTTGTTTGGTCCCTCCTGCTGCCAACCTAGCAGTTCGAAAGCACGTCAAAGTGCAAGTAGATAAACAGGTACCGCTTCGGTGGGAAGGTAAACGGCGTTTCCGTGCGCTGCTCTGGTTCGCCAGAAGCGGCTTAGTCATGCTGGCCACATGACCCGGAAGCTGTACGCCAGCTCCCTTGGCCAGTAAAGCGAGATGAGCGCCGCAACCCCAGAGTCGTTCGCGACTGGACCTAATGGTCAGGGGTCCCTTTACTTGCTTGTGAAATGTGTAAAATTGACACATTGAGCATTTTAGATTAAGGGCATGGTACAAATGTAAGAACTTCTAAAAAATTATTTGGATATCTTTGTTCTAAGTTTTTTAAATATATGTATATATATTTCTGTACAGGTGCCATGGAGCTGCTTCTGTTAGCCCGGAGAACTGATTTGAGACGGATATCATTGGATACTCCAGATTTCACTGATATTGTTTTGCAACTGGAAGATATTCGACATGCCATTGCTATTGACTATGATCCTGTAGAAGGGTACATCTACTGGACAGATGATGAGGTGAGGGCCATCCGGCGCTCTTTCATTGATGGGTCGGCTAGTGAGTTTATTGTCCAAGCACAAATTGCACACCCTGATGGCATTGCTGTGGACTGGATTGCCCGTAACCTTTATTGGACTGATACCGGCACAGACCGCATTGAAGTAACAAGGCTTAATGGAACCATGAGGAAGATCTTGATCTCAGAAGACTTGGAAGAACCTAGAGCTATAGTTTTGGATCCCATGGTTGGGTAAGATGCACTAATTTGCTATATCAAACCAATTCATTTCATGGGTTTCCAGCTAGCCCTGATTCAGAAACAGATATCTCAGTTCTGCATTACTTAGATTAAGGATAAGCAGTTGGAGACCTCAAGGCCACATCCATTCTGAAAGGATTTCCACTGTGTTTACAAATAGCCTGTCAGTCTCCTGACACAATACACTGTTATGCATCTCAGTCACTTAGCTGAGATGCAAGCAGAGGACTATTCTACAGTGGAAACAGCGTTGGCCCTTCTTACACAACTCAGCTACTTCCGTGGGAGAACTGGTAAATAGTGATGAGTAGCTGACATGACTGAACTAAGCAAGAGGCCAGCCTGGAGATTTGGACAATCAAAGAGGCCCCATTCTAAAGAGAGGCAGCTTTGATTTTCATGTTTCCTAGTCAGCTTCCTAAATAGTTCTAGCAGTCAATCAATCTACAAATGATTGGCTGAGTCTGTAAAGAGACAGTACCAGAAAAGTCCAGGCAGAGAATTGATCTGGTTACACAATCGCCAAGTCATTTGTACGCTGTTTCTGTGGGTCTAGGTGTTTTTCTGGAATATGGGATGCTTTAATATGCAGGCAATCCTTGTTGAGCCTGCCCCACCCCTTTTCACGATGTCTTTGGGGCGTGTGATCACGCCTCATTTGGACGCATCTAAATCGGGAGTTGCCTGTTTTCTATTGTAATAAATCTCTGGAGTGGTTTAACAAAATTTTAACATTGATGCATTTTTTTCTTTTTAAATTATTTTGATCAATTTTTAATCCTCATTTTATTTGTATGTTGCCTTTCCATAGTTAAAATCATGCTCAAGGTGGCTTACAACATGAAAAGATTTTAAATTGCCCTGAACCTTTTCAATAGATGACATGTTGACCATGTTTTAGGACAATATGGTGTAATTCCTGAATTACTTTTCAGTTAGTGTTTGAATAGCTACTCACTTGATCTCCCATATGCTTTATATGCAGTTTTATTCTTTCTGTCTTTAAAAATGTAAACATAAGCAGATGTAAGTCTCAGCCTGTAAGCATTAAATATTGTTCTATTTAAAACACTTTACTTTCCATTTGGGAGACTCCCCCCCCCCCCCAATCTCTCGTGTGTTTAAAAAGTGAAAGAACTGCATCTAGTTCTTGATATCTCTTTCAGTGTGTTCATAGTGATGACCACACAATGCTCAATGCGTATACACTTCTAGGTTATACATTTATGAGAAATTTACATCAGATTGCAAAGCAGTTTAAATTAACTAATCTGTTTCAGTGAATCTCTTTAGCTAAAGAAACCAAAGGCCACAGCCCAAATTCCTATCAACCCTGCTAAAATGTGTGTGATGATAGCATTTTATTGCAACATTTCTGTTTCTCCTTACAGCTATATGTACTGGACTGACTGGGGAGAGAATCCAAAGATTGAGAGAGCTGCATTAGATGGATCAGACAGAATTGTGTTGGTGAATACTTCTCTTGGCTGGCCAAATGGCTTGGCTCTGGATTATGCTGAAAACAAGATATACTGGGGAGATGCCAAAACAGACAAAATTGAGGTCTGTTACTTCTGTTTTATATCAATCAGAAATCCCAGATTTGCTGCTAGCTTCCTGAGACAGCCTATGATGAATTTGTGTTGAAAACGCATTAATCAGTACAACTAGAGATAGCTAGTTCAGGATCATAATTAATTATTGCTGAATTTTAATATCAGCATTCTCTGCTGCCTTTCTCTGAGCCCTTTAAGGATTATCTAAATTATATTTTATTTTCTGTTGAATAAAAGGTCAGTGCTGGTGAGTCAGAACAAATATATAAAACACAGAGTGTATTCACAAGGAAAGTGCTAGATATTACTGTCATTTCACAGAAATACATAGCTTTTACCTGCTGTAGCTGTTGTGCATTTTTTTCACCAGCTTGGCTCCCAGTTCTGAACTTCATTGCTTCATACACACAGCTCTTAAAGCTGTAGACTATAAAACCCCACATTGACTGAAATTCTGAAAGTAGAGAAGCACCCCTGGGATAAACACAGAAATTTCCCGAGTTCTTCTGAAGGTTCAGAAAGGTTATCATCATCTTGGAAGCCTTTCCTCCACCTCCACAGAAACAGATGGCTCCATTCGTTCCCAAAGGAGAATTTGGCAGTCTTATAATATCCTCTTCTTTTGAGGCGTGCTTTTATAAACCCCAAAGTTCTTTTTCAAGCTTGGCTCAGGAGAACTTCGCTAGCAATTCCTATTGTTTAGTTATTGTAGGTTTGCTTCTTACAAATTCTACTTTTGCATATGAAGCAATCTGCTTGCTCTTCCTGTGTTCCTGGCTGAATGTTAGACCCCCTTAATATATGTGCATATCTACAGCTATGTCCACAGCTACTTCCATGCCATTGAAAAAGCACGCAGGGCTTTCCACTCCTGTGGTTACTTCTGACAATGACCTGGTCTGCATGTCATGAAACCATAGTTAGACTGAACTATGATTTAAGTGCTGATGCATGCTACTGAAATCACAAGTGCTTTGATCCACTCCTGCTGCTGTTGGGAAACAAACCATACTGGGGGGCTTGGTGTTGCATCTGCACCAGGGTCAAGTTCAGACAAAAAGCTGAATGGTGGTTTGGCTTGTAGCATCAACAGGTGTTTCTACACATTTATTTCATTGGGCACTGGGAACAGTGGATTGGGTATATCCTCTCACATGACCTCAGGCAGGAGCAAAGACGTTTTCAATTTTGATCTCATTTTATTGTTGCTTTATTTTATCTAGTCTTCCTTAGTTTTAACTCCTGTCTTTGAGTCTTACGCAAATATCTATACAGTGGTACGTTGGTTTACAACCTTAATCTGTTCCTGAAGTCCAGTCTTAAACCAAAGCGGACTTAAACCAAGGGGTGCTTTCCTATAGAAAGTAATGGAAAATGGATTAATCTGTTCCAGACTATGGAACAGCAACCCCTAAAACAGCAATTAGACATGAATTTTACTCTCTAACGAGGCCATTGATCCATAAAATGAAAGCAATAGACCAGGCTGCAATCTACTACCCAGTATAAAAACCCTTACTGCATCCTGCCCACACCGTCCTGTGCCTGTGAGGGAATGCCGGGGCAGTCACTTCTGGGGCTGAGCCGCTTGGCGTTGCTCTGGCGCCCGGAGTGGCGGCTGCGCATGCGACACCCGGTACTGGGGAAGGGGGTGGTTGCTGCAGCAGCACAGCCTTTGATGCTGCAGTGACAGCGGCGGCAGAGGGACCCAGTGCCGGAGAAGAAGAAGGGAGAGAAAGAGAGACACGCACAAGAGATGCCAGCTGCCGTGCGCCAAAGCGCATTTTGGAGAGACCCCTGTTGGGACTTGGAGAGGAACGCGAGGGGGTTGTCACTTGTCCTTAGGATCCTGTGGCGGATAGAGCCGGGAGGGTGCAGGGAGGGGAGTCCGTGGCAGCGAGCCCAATCCGGGTTGAGTTTCCTTTTGCTTTGCGCACACCTCACTCCCCAAGGAGTGGAGATTATCGATCCACCTTCGGCCTCCTTCTCCCCCGAGGTGCGCTGCCTTTAGGGACCTCCTCACGAGTCAGCCTGGCAGCTCCACCGTGCGTGCTGTTGCCGATGTGGACCGGCAGCAGCTCACCGGGGGTTTGGGCAAGGGATGGACTCCTTTCCCACCAGCCCTGTTGGTCTAGCCTCTTCGCCCGAAGAGTCTCCCAGCTTCTTGATCAACTACAAAAAAAGATGCTTGGCTCCATCACAAAGGATTATTCACCTAGGAGCCCTGCTAGATATACAGTTCAGGTCTCGTGGCTCTTCACCAGAGCAGATCAGCAAAATGTCCGCAGCGGCAGCTTTGATCTTAAAGACAAAAAAGATGAAGGTCAAACAACTGTCAACAATTCTAGGTCTCTGCATGTAAGTCTCTCAGATTATGCTTTGGGCGAAACACCATGGTGGTTTTTACTTCTACATTAATGGGCGATCATTCACAATGGCCCCAGGTCTTTGCTCTTTATCTCCTCAACTCATTCTATGGTGGGTGCAAACCTCCAATCTTTGGCAAGGCACTCCATTCAGAAATCTGTGCAACACTCAGATAACCACGGATACCAGTTTACATGTATGGAACATTGTCGATCTCTCTACACTCAAGGCCTGTGGAGGCCACTCACTCCATCAATTGGCTAGAGTTGAGAGCAGCCAGACTGGCAATTGTTTCCTTCTCTCATCTTCAACTCCATCACGTCCTCCTTCAAACAGACAACTCAACAACAAAAGCCCACATATCTCGTTAAGGAGACACCCATTTGGAATCTCTCCAGAAAGAATCGGCTCTTCTCTTCAGTTGGGCCTGAGTGTCACCTCCTCAGCCTCATGGCAGAACATATAACCAGTTACAGCAAGCAGTTTGGTTGAGCAGATCCCAGGTAAATCAAGGGGAATGGAAACTCAACGAACAGGTGTTCCTTCAGATTCAACACTACTGGGGTCCTCTACAAGTTGATCTCTTTGCTCACAAGCTAAACTGTCAGCTACCCCATTACTTCAGCAGGTTCCAAGACAACCAATCAGATGCCTGGGATGCCGTAATGACAACATGACTGAAGGAACTCTTGTATGCCTTCCCTCCTCAAGCCATCATTCCGAGAGTCCTCTGGAAGATCAGGTTGGAAAAAGCTCAGGTGGTTCTTGTTGTTCTGGCCCCACAGACCTTGGCTGTCAGAGATTTAGGCTCTTTCAGTGGCCCCACCATTTCATCTTCCATATTGTCCAATTTATTTGCCAGGAACCATTGACTCATTCAGTCCTAGAGGGGTTGAAGATGACTGCATGGCGTTTGAGCGCCATAGACTGAAATCTCGTGGTCTGGATGAGAATGTTATCTCCACCATTCTAGCTTCCAGATGTCCATCCACAAGACTTATTTATCAATTAACGTGATCAGCCTTTACCTCCTGGTGTAAAGCTTCTCATCTATGGCCACACAGAGTAACGGTTCCAGATGTTCTCCACTATCCAACATGGTCTTCAAAATGCCCTACAGGCTAATACATTAAAACGCCACCTTTCCAGCATTTCTTTGATTTTAAGTTTGGCTGGCCGCTCTTCGCTGTCACAAAATCTTCTAATCAAACGTTTCCTCAAAGAAACTATGTTACAGCATCCTCCAGTGACACACCATTTTCCATCATGGAACTTGCATTCTGGCACAGCAACGGCCTCCATTTGAACCGCTATGCCAAATCTCCTTAAAGAACCTTTCTTTTGAAGTGCTATTTTTGGTTGCGATAACTTCGATGAGACGAGCTTCAGAACTGTCTGCCTTGTCGGAAGCAACACATTTATAAGGTGGTCTTGCCTACATATCCCTCCTTTCTACTAAAAGTTCTTACAAAATTCCGCATTCAACAGGAACTCATTCTCCCTTCTTTTTGTGCTGATCCAAAACATCCGTTGGAAAAGGCTTGGCACTCCTTGGATGTCCACAGAGCCTTAAAAGTGTTTATATACCGGACACAAATCATTAGAAAGACAAATTCTTTGTTTGTATTTTTTCATCCTTCCACCTTAGGAGGAAATTTAAATTTGATTCACCATGATCTGTAGGCCTACTTGTGCCTCTGCTACTTAAAGTTCAACATTTTTCTTGTTCTATAACAGAGCATAGCTAATTAATCTAATAAAGATTAATGCACAACTACCGTAATGCTGAATTTCCTACTCGTATGATTCTCACAAGCTTGAATAAAAACTAGGTGCATTTAGAGATACATGAGGATTTTGTCCAACCTGCATTATTAAGTCACCCAACCAAACTTCCAAGACTAATACGCGGATCAGAATTCAGTTTTATTACATCTTCATATTCTGCGCTATAGCTCTTGTTAGGGTTTTTTTTTTAAAAAAATGCTCATTTTATGATAAATTGCATTGAAAACAATGTGAATTGATGTTATTGTTTTAAAACAATGCAGATCAATGTAGAAACTGAAATAACACACATGAATCTGGTATCAGGTATGGATTTGGGTTCAGTTGCACTGGGCGCACAGCCTCGGGACTGCTGAAACTATAATGTAGAATGGAGGGGGGCACAGGGCACCACTGAAATTTGAGACCCCAAAGCCCACCACTGCTGGCATAGTCCATAAATAGACTGTCCAGAAATAGGTGATGACTAGGTGCATTGCAGAACTACTGGATGATAAAAGGTAAAGGTACCCCTGCCCGTACGGGCCAGTCTTGACAGACTCTAGGGTTGTGCACCCATCTCACTTAAGAGGCCGGGGGCCAGCGCTGTCCGGAGACACTTCCGGGTCATGTGGCCAGCGTGACAAGCTGCATCTGGCGAGCCAGAGCCGCACACGGAATGCCGTTTACCTTCCCGCTAGTAAGCGGTCCCTATTTATCTACTTGCACCCGGGGGTGCTTTCGAACTGCTAGGTTGGCAGGCGCTGGGACCGAGCAACGGGAGCGCACCCCGCCGCAGGGATTTGAACCACCGACCTTTCGATCGGCAAGCCCTAGGCGCTGAGGCTTTTACCCACAGCGCCACCCGCGTCC